TTGTTTGTTAAAAAACTCATAAAGATGTACCTTCCAAACACAGAGAACAGGAAAATTGAATGCGGGGATAGGATTCCGTCTTTCTGAATCTGGAGCGAGGTTCCGACGAACACTGCTGTCATCAGCATTGCGAATAGAGCTCCAATGATTTGAGCAAATAGTAGCTAAACAAAGTAATACATTCACCCTATGTCGAATAATTCCTCGACGAACATCGCCGTGACATACATGACGACTCGCTAGGAAATATGATGTGTGGATTACATTGTCATAAGTTCAGGATAACGGATGAAATCTGCGCGTAGAGTGAAGGGCTCAGGTCCTGTGGACGCACACAATGGCCTTCACTGGATGCTTAGCCAGCACCGTCGCCGCGGCCTAGGGAAGACGGGCAAGACAATTGTAATCTGTCGCGTTTTCGCGCACGGCATGCCTTGCGGCAACGCGCCGCAAATTTTCAATGGGCACCGGCGTGTCGATTGAGTCTGCGAATGCCTGATGAATTCAAGCAGAGATAGGACCCCAGGACGGGCGAAATCAAACTTTCCTCTCCCTTTATCATTGGGATTCCGACGGCCAGGTAGGACAACTCGTATCTCGGGTGCAGCGTCGCTTTCCACGCCTACCAGTGCGGCATCTTACGATTGTCTTGTCACATTGGGCTAAGCCGTAGATGAAGTGTGAAATCTGCGTCGCCGCTCGTTTTTCCGCGTCACGCCGGAGTTATCTTTCCTCCTACCTGTACGCGCTAGCGCAGCACAGAGCCGGACATCAAAACGCGTGAAATATTCATCAAGCCGGCCTATACACACGCAGTATAAGAAGCTCTGCTGACGCGGGGGAGGGGTCTGCAAACTCGGGCAATTGAACGCGGCGCGCAACGTTACACCTCACCCATTGTGGCGCTTGCACGGGAGCGACATTCAATTTTACGCCGCCACCTCGGGATACTGTATACCCTCCTCCTAAAAGCTTATAAGCATGCCATCTAAAAACAATGCGTGTGAGGGGCTGTTTTGGGATCGCAGCCAGGACAGACCTTCCCGCCAGTTGCTGCAGACTCGGGATCTCATCATTCATGAAAAGCTGGCACTGTTCCAGAGCGCGTACCATCACACGCTCTACCTCGCAGGGATTATGACTGTATAACTTGTAATGTGCGCTCATCGGTACGTTGAGGAAGTTGGTTACCTGTTTTTCGGGTTTGGCTGTCAAACAGACGATGCAAAAGGTGACGACAGGTATAGAAATAATCAACAGACTCCAACCGGTGTCGATATTGAAAGAGATTGAAATCGCTCCGACCACCATCAAAAAGATTGTGCCCGGTCCCAGGATCGACGATATTAACATTACCGTTTGATAGATGATATACCTATGTAAAAGGAGTTTTAATGTGGGTTTTTGAAAAGAAAAGACAAACCCACCAGATGGAGATGCTCTCATTTACTCTAACGACGTTCTTGTAGTCCTTCAGCAGATCGATAATGTTTGCAATAGTGCGATGGGATCCACCGTCTCGCGGATTGAAGATACTCGTTAAAGCCTTCTTTAGAGCAAAACGTGCAGCGCGTCAAGATGCCGCCAAACAGTACTCTACCCTTAATGACGAATCGGGCCGGTTAAGCTTGAATTCACCTGACCGACTGATCAGAGAGAGAGTACCTGTAGCCCCTCTGAAGAAGAAGGGTACACAGCCATCTGTCTTCTCCCTGATCATACTGAATATAGTCCAATGGTTCTTCTGACTTTGATGCGTATCTGCAAACACCGTAATAAGTATACCGTAATATCAAACGATTACCGTACCCACCTTCTCGTTACATTGTCGTCCATCAAAGCGTAGCTTCTGAAGAGGGAGAAACAACCTGGCGAACACATCACACATCCAATCATGTGTTCGGTGGCCTTCTGAAGCCAATGACCGATGGCGTATTCAAACTTCTGATACCACACCTAAACGATAATCCAATTACCAGTGTGGAGAAGTTGATGCTGAATTTGGACGCTTTTCTAGTATTCTGGGCAGCGGCACGTTAGCACACCCATAAGGCGCAGTTCGCCGAGGGGGGGGGGGGCATTTTGCACTTTCATTGCTCCACTAGTTCCGGTTTGCATACTTTACCTGATGAAACCTGTGAACTCCCATGAAGCTGGAGCAAGCTCATCGCTGCTGACTCACGAAAAGGCTCTCTAGATGGGTCGGCACGTGGATGGGAAGTAGGAAAAGTGCAACATGCCCCCCCCCCGTCACCGAACTTCGCCCACGCATAGCCAGAGGAGCGATTTGGATAGAATCCCATAGAGGCTAACTAAACCAGCTTGCCATCTGGTATCCGCTAGTTGGGATCACCAAGGTGGGGTTGGTAAAGCGCTGAGCCATGTACAGGGGGGGGCCAAAAAAAATGTCACTTTCCTTAATTGACTTTCGAG